AATAGTCAAAACATTGATTTTCTTTCACTACGATTCCCTTTCAGATCTTCAGTGTGTCCTTGTTCGAATAGATGATGAAATCTTCCTTCGTACATCTTTAAGACGTCTTTGAACTTTTGTAGAGTGGGTGAGTTTAACATCCATAATGACTTTTCCTACAGATTACTTACAAGTTTTTTTATTATGATTATTATGATGGTGTTGATGATGGTGATGATAATGAAATAGTAATAATAATAATAATAATAATAATAATAATAATAATAATAATAATAATAATATTGTAATAACAATATTAACGATGATGATAATAATAATTATTAGTATTATTTTCAAAACATAATTATTATTTTAACAATGATGATAATGATGAATATATTAATTAAGAAATTATTATAATCAAAAGTGAAAATTATCATATTTCAGAGAGTCTGTCCATAGGATACCGTGACAAAAATAAAAACCATGTAAATAGAATGAAATGAAATGGAATGAAATGAAAGAAATGAAATGAAATGAAATGTCCCGTTACAATAGATTTATGATCAACATGAATTTCCGGTCGACTTCTTTATTTGTCCTTTGTCACGTATATATTGTAAATAGTTTGTTCGATACTATCATTCACAGGGACCTAAAAAAATCTCTACAGCATTTAAATCTTGCTCATCATTTGCAGAAAAGATCGTTAACATTCCGAGTAGAGATGATGAAATCGTTCTCCTTCCATCTTATAGTCGTCTTTGCAGATCCGAATGCCTCAACTCTAACAACTAGAAAAACCTTTCAACTGAGATTATACTACTTCTCATTCGTACATTATGTATTCACCAATTATCCAGGTTAGCTTTTTCTTCCTTAATCACAACACTGAGAAAGGCGTTTTCTTTTCTTACAAAAAAAGATGATGAAATTTACTCGTTGATACTTTCTTCTTGTTCAAAAACATCAAAACAAACACAACCAAAACAAATCAAAACAAGAAAACCAAAAAAAAAAAAAAAAACAGGATGATGCAATATCCCGATAAAAGTTGACTACCAGGAGGAGTAATGAAATGTCCGAGCTGTAGGTTCTGTTTTGGGGGAGGGGGGTGTATTTTTTAAAAGATTGTTTAAAAAGAAGGAAAAAAGGAGTTAAACTTTAAAAATTATAATGATCATAAAAGGAAAGGATATTTTCTTTAAATTTTCTCACATGTTTTGTCTTACAAGTTATTATTATTATTCTATCCATTTAAATTCTGTACTTTCAAGTTCAGAGAAACCACTCTTCCTTTTAAGAATATATATTTCATATTTTCTTTACCATAATTTATGTTCTACAGGAAAGCTGTTCCGGAATGAAATGTCTCCCTCTGGCGGTGTAAGCTTGTTTGCGCGCTACTCACGATAGATGCACTGACCTCTACAGTGGATACATGTGGTAAGGAGGATTTTTTTAATTTTTTTAATTTTTTTTTAAAGCACTGTGAATAATCAGTTGCGAACCCAGATTCTCTGAGGGCGCGGGGGGGGGGGGGGGGGGGGGGGGGGGGGGAGATATGGCACATAACCGAAAATTTCATCAGCTCATGAATCATCCTTTCTTTCTCCTTTTCATCCCATTTTCTTTTTAGGGTGGTGGGGGCACTGGTATGTCTCTTGTTCACCGGCTTTTTACCGGAATAATTCCCTTTTGTTGAGTGCGTTCTACAAACCTACCAGACTGCGTCGATTCCAACCACACCCATCATAATCAAACCCCAAATATGAACAAAATATACTCCTCCAAATTTGAATAAACATTCCAAACGGCAGGTAAAGGTCACTCTCAGACGACAAAGAAGCCGAATTGCGTAGGTTTTATCACAATCTATCAAAACAAAATAACAGCGATTTCTCTGATGTTTGTCATAAGCAATGATTCATTTTATTAATTAAAAGAATCTAGATAAAAATAGTGTTCATTATTTATACGTAGGAAATGAATGAGTGCTTCGACTCTACTGGTGTGTAATGGAGTGTATAGAATGAAAATAAAGACCTTTGTACTCAGAGTGCGTAGGCGGTTCACATGTTTATTAATCATGCTATTATGACCACTGTATTTGAAGGTGAACATGGACGGAGACTAATCCACGAGACCACAACACTTCTACTTTTAGACTATTGGATCCACACTATGAATATGACGGACAAAGAAAGCGGACAAAATATACATTCCTCAGGTAGACAAAGGAACATCCCTTCACTGCTATTATGTAAAAAATGTGTAGAACAGGTGTCACATGCATATTCACCTTACAAAATAGCAGTGAAGGGATGTTCCTTTGTCTACCTGAGGAACTGTATATTTTGTCCGCTTTCTTTGTCAGTCATATTCATAGTGTCAGGATATGATGCTAGGCAAAGTGCAGGGTAAAAGGAGAAGAGGATGGCAAAAATGATTGGATGAATAGATTCAGTGGAAGGTGTGACCAAATAAACAGACAATACATTAAGAGAGATGTGCATACTTACACAGGATAGGGTAGCCTGGAGAGAGTTTGTCCACGGGGTCACCAGGAGCTACAATACATCTTGCCTTAAAGCCCCACTGAACTACTTATAGCTACTTGCGCCCTCTTTATAGCAAACAATGCCTAATCGGTGACCATTGGTCCCCCATGACCCCCTTTTTCTTATGTTAATTGAGAGCTTATGTGATGGGATAACCACCTGTCAGTGATCATGCAGGGAGGTCTAATCTCTCCTGGCCAAACTAGTGCAGTGGGACTTTAAACTTCACATTATGTGATGTGCAAGTAATATCACTATGACGGAATGTTTTATACGTTTGGGCGATCCTATCATTAAGTTGGATGTCGGTTTGTATGCGATTTCTTCCATAAAATTCTGTGTAATCGGTAAAAATCTGGTACCATTGAACTACACAGTATAATACGGACTAAACATGTGTGGCATCTCCTTGCAATTCATACAACATATCATCTGATGGCTTATTAAACTTTTGTAATTCAAAATCGTGACAAAGCTAAATCTAAATTTATTTCGGAGAAACCTATAGGCTATGTCTAAAACGAAAAAAAGAGCCTTTACCTCATCAAGGCCACATAATATAAAGCTTATAGTGAGTGATGGTACGATCGATTTTTACGACTGAATGCACATATTGTTCAAAGCAATCACTAGCAAAATTCAACCGGATGATCAATTGATAAGCTTTATGTTACTGGGCCCAAGATCGCCGCTGGAGGGAGGTCACGTGGTGTGGGGGGGGGGGGGGGAGGGGTGTAACCTTGCTACCCTCCTCCCCCATTCAAACATTTCTGTCGGGATATTTTTTCTTCTTCACCCTTGTCGATAATCTAAAAAATGATGATTTGAAAAGAAGATCATGTGATAAAACTTATTTGTCATTTATTTTTGTTACTTCATAGATGGGTGCTCATTACCAGGGTGGGACTCTAGCACCAGTCGAGGTTTTGGCAAGATGTGGAATGGACCACATTCCGTATGAAATGGTATGAATAATCTACACCAACTCGACATACCACAATACAACATATACATCAAATGTACTATTAATCAACAAAAAGAGTATTAGTGATAGTCACGGCATCCCAATCCAAAGCAATCTAATGATAATAATAATAACAATTGTTTACTAGAAATATTCTCCACGATGATCCAATGCTTCATGCCTCCCCGCCACCGCCCACTGATATAGCATTCTCAAAGCATCAGCTATAGTCGTGACAACAGTTGAATTAATGAAAAATGCAGTGATTATTGGAATGTTAGCACACACACACACAATAGGCAACGCATGCCTATAGTCGTCTTCTGAATATAAAAAAATGAGTCATCTATTTTCAATCCAGAACTCGTAGGCAATGCCCGAATCATCAGTTGAGTCGCGATAGCTCAGTCGTTAGAGCAGTGGTCTTGTGATCCGGTGACCCGGGTTCGAAACCAAGTCGATGCGCTAGTGCCCTTTGGTGAGGACCTAAAGCCGTCGGCCGTCTGGTTGCTTACTAACAAGCATTTATGCTTTCTTAGCAGTCAAGTAAAATAACCACCACCACACAGCTTCGTTGGGAATGACTAGCCACGATCAAAACCCCTTCTGCATCAATTCAGCCTTCAATCTCTCACTTCTTGTGTATTCAATATCACTTTTATGGGAAACTGATGTTTTGCACTACTGACGCAATTATATAGATTGAATGTAATCCTATATTTTGTATTGAGCACAGTAACTTATAGGTTATGTTCTTTCCCTGGAATCAACCCGGTTGTTAATACAGGTATAGCATCAGATATAAACAAATACGTTGAAGTTTGTTTATGTGGAAAAAAGGACGCACATGTACTGAATTTACCATTGCATACAAAAATATGTTTCCTGAACATTTTAAGGTCGTGCTTGAACTGTTTGAAATCATAATGCATTGTTTCATCTGATCTGGGCCATGGGTGTATAAGGCCTTGTAGCCCTAAAGCCAACTCTATTTATATCAGTTTTATTAACATTTTGATTGTCATGCCCTTTTTATGTGCATTTGATAGATCAAAAAGGTATTGGCTCCTCTCCAGGCAAATTGCATGGACACCACACATCAACAATGAGACATGCCTTCGCGTGAGAACAAGACGCTACCCCCCCCCCCCCCCCCCCCCCCCCCCCTGTCGCCTCTTCTTTTGCACTCGGACTCAAAAGGTAAGTCCATATTTGTCACAAAGCCATCAAGTCAATTTCTCCCTTTTGACCAATGAGATAGCGTCCTGTACTGATATCCCGCCTCCAAATAGTCGTCCGCGACGTAAAGGCCCTTAAACGAGCATGGATGTCTGGCTGAAAATCTAGCACAGATCCAGGGTAGCTCAGTGGGCCGGGTCGATTTTTGAAAAGAAATTTGAGCTTCTTGGATTAAACAAAATATAGGAATAAACGATAACAACCAAAATGGCAATCGATTGCATATTTTGTGATCGAATGAAGAGGTAGAGGTTTAAGATACATAAAGCTAAACCGGGGAAAACAACCCAAGTTTGTTGTCGATTTCTGCCGGGGGGACCATGAGGTTGTATTTAATGGGTACAACGCGGTCCTGGCTCACTTCTCCGAGTAAATCCTCTTCTTACAGGCAGGGGGTAATCTTCAGATAATTTAGAGTTTATAGACGGAGCAATTTGTGGAGTCATGGAGGCATTTAACATGAACAAGTCGAGTCCAGGCTTCCGCGAGAAGCACACGGATGGACCTTGTTCAGTGACACCTAGCTTGGCCCATGTTTTGGCTGTAGTAACTGCTCTAATGCTTATCGGTACCCTTATTATTTATTCGCTCTCGACGCTGCGAGTTCACGCTGCCCTCGTAGCCGAGCTTCAGGCCGAAGTGACAGCGCTGCGAGAACGGGTTGAACGTCTCGAGGCACTCGATACAACACAAACCAAGACGAAACAGAACCAAAATCAGGATAAAAATCTGAAAAAACTTTTGATGGATTTTAGCAAAGATCAATTGAAAGGAAAGGAGGTGGAAACTGCAGATGATGATAAAGATAATTCTGTTACTTTCTTGGAGAAGCTATTTGGGCGTCGAGAGCTCGGTTCAGAATCAGATACACAATGGGCAACAGACAGAGATAATGCAGGACCCGGTGCACTTGAACCAGAGGTACACAGTTTTGTCTTCGTCTATAATTATGTTCATCTTCATCATTTTTTGTTGCAATTTATCCACTTGTGACACCTAACTTGTGTAATTCACGATGCCTACCTTTAATAGCATTATGCTTCACACTATTTTTCATGTCCATGGTTGGTATGTAATTATTAGTGTTCTTATTGATCGTTTGCCCTTCTTTTTGTTTTGTTTAATGTGCTACAGCTTCCCTCTTTGAAGAAAAAAAATCATGGTTTACAACCGTTATTATGATTATGTTACTAACATAAAATATCATATCTTTCTTTTTATTTTTCTGTCAGGTGTTGACTGAATACAAGAGCCAACAGATGTCTGAGGAAGAAGACGACCTCTTTTACCCGACGGATCGTTCTCATGAAACATCCCTCCGTCATCATATCGGCAAACTTTCCACCAATCACCAGTCAGAACGCGATGACGTCAGATGGGAATCCACCAGTGAGGATCGAGCGGGAAAGCGGACCAGACGACAGGCAGAAAACCGTGAGTCAAGGAATCGCAATCGCGATCGAAAGGCCTCGAAAGGGGCTAGTAAAAGGAATAGGGGCAACCGAGGAAGCACAAGGAGACGAGAGCAAGAGACTGAAGAAACTCCACAGCAAAATGGAGGAGGTAATTTGCATTCACTGATGACAAAGTTTTCTTTGATAAGGGAAAGAATATTGTTTTGACGTATATTCTCCACACACAAAAAAAGAAATTTACAGACATATTCCATCTTAGGAATGTTCATTACGTTTCTTCTAAAGTATGTAAGAGAAGAATTGTGTTGATTCATCAGGGGTTAACAACTATTAAAGTTAATTCACATGAATTCTATTTTTAGAACATCGATTGGTAGCTTTCATGATTATATGACTTCATCATATTGATGAAATGTATTCAGAATGCCCTTTGGTTATTTGATGCATTCATGTGAGAGAAATAAGATCTCAGTGGTTCACTTTGGTAAGATCATTTGTCATCAGTGTCTGAGTAAATATCTTCAGCTCCCCCTGCATGTGCTTCCGTCATGTAATCCCTATGTGATTTCAAGTACACTTCATGCTTCATAGATTGAAAGCTTGTAGGAATAGATGCATGTAAATCAATATAGACCAGTTCATAGTTATCTTGGGAACAAATGACCATATGAAGTGTACACATGAAGACGTCCCACTTCGTATATTTTAGAATAATCACTGCCAAAGTAATGGCTGTGCTTCATGAGTATCTTCTGTTTGCCTTTTTAAGAAGAAGAATTCCACATGTGTTCTATAGAATGCACCGTTAGTGCTTAAGTGAATAATGATTATATAACATTAATGAACACGTATCCACTATTCGTCTCGATGGGTTTTACAATAAGCCAGTTTACGGTTGCTGTCTGAGCATGAGCAGATAAAGGTCATTGCAGAACAAATTTAGAAATACACGAAGACGAAATAATGGATACGTGCTCACGAAAGTTATGTAACATTATTCATTCATGCACATTCAGTGCACTCCATGATACACACTGTCAGGTGGAAGTATTCTTTGAAAAGGGGGAACAAAGACTATTGATATAGACCTCCATTGATGTAGGAGTGATTATTTCAAAATATACAAAGTGGGACCTCTTCATGTTTTGAAGATCTGTGGATATTCGGGGTCATTGCAGTAATGAGCTAACCGTGAACTGGTCTATTTCGATACAAATAACATTTATCCCATGTGATGATTGTATCTACAAACGCCCTTCTGGCTCTCCGTAGCGGAGACACCAGTTAACAGGGATTCTTAGATTCTGCACGACGAGAACGTGGACTGCCCTTTTAAAGCAATGTGACGTCCTTTTATAGCACTGGCAGTGACGTCACATTGCCTTAAAGGGCAGTCCGCGTTCTCGTCGTGCAGAATCTAAAAGTCCCTAATCACGCCGATCAAGTTTCCAACTAATCATTCGACAAATTCTCAGTCAAATATCAAAAGTTGTGAGGGATGTCTTGAGCTCTCCTTACAGAAGATGCAAAGACAATTATCCAAACTAGTCTTGAGCACCACCTGTAGAAAGTACACTTGAAATCACATCGTGCTTTGTCGTGTTATGTTGTTTTGTGCAGTGGTCTAACAAGCTCTAACCATCCAAGAGCAGCTCCATTTCAGTAACCCGTATACGTTGCGTTCGTAATAAAAGTACCGCACTAACATAACTAGTGTATATATGACTATCGCAAAAGAAATCTCGATAGGCAAATGGATTGATAATAAACAATTTTTGCCAACTTTATAGAGCATTTAGCTTTAGTTTATTTTCAAGAAACAACATGCACATTATGTTTCCAAACGAAAATAGACTGAAGGGAAGCGAATCGATAAAACGTCCGTATCGACAAATGCGTTCGACTGTAATATATTAGTTTGCAAGATAGGTATTTGAATAAGATAGTCTTTTTGTTCTTGTTCTTCTTCTTCTTGTTTTTGTTGTTAATTATGTGCAATTAAATCTCCGTTTGATTTTCAAGCAGCAGTCTTCTGCTCGAGGTGTTAGAAATAACGTGCTTGAATGAGAGATTACGTCAGGAGCATGATACTTGTACTCCACATGCCCGATCTTGGAGTATGATTGCATCATCCTTTCCCCTGACGGACAATAGATTTGATCTTTCTAGACCACGTATTTAGTTGAGACGGTTGATTTATATAATACTTACCCCTAAAAGGAACTGTTGGTTTGTTGCTTGTTGGGGGGGGGGGGGTGGGCGCTATGACCAAACATAAGTCCAATTCAAAATAGTGAAATTTATTTCTTTCTACAGATGAGATTCGTTGTAGATGTTGTAATGATGATGATCTCTTTGACATTAAGTGCTCGATGAGTGTATAAGAAAAGAGAAAATTGACAGCATATTTTATTAAACTAATGTTGTTGTTTTTTCTCAAAAGATTCTTCTTTATGGGTATTGGCCACTTTACTATAGATTCTGCAAAAGAGAAGAATTTATTTTTTTTAAACTTTCCGATATTAAGAAGACCATGTGATCCTGGTTCTGATATCGTTTGCGAGCTTTGATTCATATCAATGTTGCATGTCAGCATATGTGGTCTTCATCATTCTGCATGTTGCTTATCCCCCTCTGATTGAAGCAAATAATCATTTTGTAATGATGCGTTCAAGCGACGGTCAGTGCCATAGGGGTTAGTCTCACTTAGTGGTATGTCCTATTATAGTACAATGGTACAATGGGGTTATGTTCAAGTTGGCTAAAAGAGAAGCTTAACGGAGGGAAAAACTTCAGTGAAAGTTCGAGGAAAATATAATGAAGGATTGTGAGTCTTTAATACCTCTCGTATACCTTTTCTGTACTAGAAATGTCATGAATTCTCAATTTTACGAAGAAAATAATCCATTCACCTTTTTTATAAATATTATTTTAAACACATATTTGTAAACACCCTTATTATGATATAGATCTCCCAATTTGAATTGATTGCATTTTCAGAACAAGGGAAATAGAATACTCATAAGGTAAATCACAAAGTTGTAAATCTGTGTTTGAAAGACTACATAATTACATATATATATATATATATATATATATATATATATATATATATATATATATATATAATCATAGGATCACCCTTTATGTATGATTGTTTGATATAAGTAACACAAAAGATTTGACAAAATAATCACATCATGAGCCCTAATTTCTTGCTCTATTGTTGTCAATAATTCTAAGTGAAGAGGAGGTGACCCTTTCATGACTTGAGAAGTGGTTCGTGATGCTACAGATAATCCAAATACTGTTCTAACGCATCGCACAATATTTCTTTTCTGATTGAGACAATGAAATCATACCTTCTTCACAGACGATAACTTGGTTCGTTTCATGTAGACAGTTGTTATTAATAGATGAATGCTTCATGACAATGGCGTCGGTACAATAGGGGAATGGTGGGGTGTAAAGAAAAAAAGAGAAAAAGCAAAATGACACACATGAGTGCTTAAGTAAGAGCTCTTAGTAGTGAACTCCAGATCGCTGAACTATGTGGCTGGGAAAACGTTTATATGGCCAGAGTATAATAATGATTAGATCAATTTATATTGCGCAGCTACTATATAATATATCTACTGCATTGTGATGAAAACACAACCCCTAATAGTGCTATATTTACAAACACACAATGAAAATATTTTTAAAAAACTATTCATGAGGTCCTGAAAACAAGTTCGTTTTCAACAAAACTTTTAAGACAGCAACAGATGAGGCTTTTGTTATGTCTAATGGTAGGTTAATCCAATGTTTTGGAGCGGCGAAACTGTGCCAGTAATGTCAAGGGCAATACATTTATATCTCCCGTAAAGAAACAGGTTGCGTAATACTTGCTAAGGATTGATGTATTAAAATAATATTAAACACTTCTGCTTTATGAGGACTGATTATAGCCTAAACAAAAACTAACAGTTATAGGATATAAACCATGTCGGGGCGAAATTGTCCTTCGCCAAAAGAGATTTCAGTCCATTCGTCCTGTCTTCTGAACGTTTTTCCTTTTAAACCATTTAAAGTGAAAATGAATGATTGATAGTTATCTCAAACAAACAAAAATATAATTTTGCTTCTGATTATATCCCGTTATATCCTAAATCAAAATATTCTTCCAACACGATTGCTGCACACATCAATATCATGCCATCACTTTCAGCTCGCGCAAATTAACACATTATCGGATAAATATTATTCAGGCTCGTTCCCATTATCTAATCCAGTGTTCCATTTTCATGACAAAGCTTTAAGCTGTAATAAGATAGCAAACATGCTTCATTGCAACTGATGTCTTCGTATACCACCATGGCGTGTGATAATGAAGATGTTCTTATCTCTATTTATCACCAGAACGAAGGCAAAGACAAAGGTGTCAGTGTCCAGATGGTATGTGACACGATGAAATACTCTCACAATATCGTTTTACTTTTTTTGATAACACACTGTTTCTCATAAAGTTGAAATAAGTTTCTTATGATTTTTTGTAAAGACAAACTTTATATCAGAACTTTACAGATCAATTTCTATGAATCTTTAGATAGACAATAAATAATAATAATAATGGATATTTATATAGCGCACATATCCACCCTGAAAGGTGCTCAAAGCGCTCCAATTATACCCCGGCTCTGCTAGGCTACCGATTTCGGTGCTCACAGCATTCCAGGAATTTCTTCCTACCGGTCCCCATTTACTTCACCTGGGTGGAGTATGGCAATTGTAGATCAATGTCTTGCCAAAGGACATTAGTGCCACGGCGGTACTCGAACCGCTGACCTTGTGATCGACAGTCCGGCGACGTATCCACTCGTCCACGACATCTGATACCATGAAAACTTTATATATCAAGAATAAATAACATTGTCAAAATCATTTCATGAAAAGAGTTACCAACGTTAAGGGTAACAGTGAACTCAATTAAATAGTACCCTTGTGGGCTGAGAAAATCCCTTCCCAACATAAAGGTAGTTATCATACCCTTTTGGGGCGATTTAATGACAATGTGGATAATAAATGGATTTAATCACGGTTTGCCCATTAATGGGGGGGGGGGGGGGGGGGCTTGCATTAATTTTTGCCCAATATTCTCATCCTGTATCACATCTGTCGAATCAAACATCATTTTAACCCTTAAACCTAATATATTATGTATGATGTCGAACGAATGACATTAAAAGCTGGGAGTTTGTTGATATAAATAAAATACATATCGCCTTAATAACGCCTTATCGGACGTGTGACCAACCAACATGTCCGACGTAGCACTCATGTCGAAGGACTATAAAAGTACCACCGGTAAAATATTCCGACGCTATTCTTGTTCAATGAGATGTATACACGTTTCCGATAGGATGTAATATGATTCTGATCACCGGACGTCTTTCCGTTAGGAATCGGGTCTTCCAATTTAAACCTTACATATACACTAGGGTTTCATAAGACAGTACGTGACATCCAGTTTCAGACCAAAAGTTTGATGATTTGTTTACTCCTACAAACAATAACTATCGCCACACAAAAAGCGATTAACTGAAATAAATTTGAATTCAAAGAACAACAAGCGTTTGTTTCGATTGCATCTATTTTGTTTGTCATCTCTGAGATGCCTTATTTGACTTCTAAGAAAATTCTCAGTGTGTGTATCAGCTTTGATTCACTATGTGTTGAATAGGTTTTTTGATGATGCCGTTTGATTAACGGTGTCTTTGATTTTTCTTTTTAAATATTTTTCACCGTGAGCATTGTACACCTGACAAGATCACACATATCTCCGTCTTTATTTCTTGATCAACTCCTCGAATTGATATGAAGACAATGATTTCTCAAGCGGGTAGCTAGGGGTTTATTTTAGGGGGGCGAGGCGCGCTCCCTAGGAGAATGGGTGCAGGGAGGGCGAAGCGCGGAAGCTTTGACGTTTCATTAAATTATTAGAGAAAGAAGACAATTCGTTGTACCGTTCATGTCGACTTTTAATCCTTGTCTGAATTTTCTAAAATAATATTTGATTCATTTTTATGCAGTTTTGTAATGAGCAAACACGCTTGGGGGGCATAAATCGTCCTCGACTTGGTATATTCAACAGATGTTGACCAGCTCCCCCCCCCCTCCCCCTCTTTGTTGTTTCCCTTTCTTAATGACAAGCCACTCTCTCCCTTTGACATATATGTTTTTAGTTTAACTGAGGGCTGCAAGGACATTAAACTTCATGCTTACGCTTTAGCCCTCCTACATCATGTTCATCTTAGGCATATATGCATTAAGCGGATAACTTAATTTGTTATACCTTTTCTAATTTCTATACAATTTCATGTACTGTATTGATAAATGTATCAATATTTAAATGAATTTAATATGAAATATCACATTAATGCACATGAATATGTATGTTCGAAAAGATTATAGTTAATCAGTAAATCATTTATCAGTTTCTGAATACTAACATGTGTAAAAACGGATTTGTTTATTCTCCTATTCTGACAAAAACATACGGTGAACATTTATTTGCCCATGCAGCCCCAGTTTTACGGAATAGCCTCCCCGACTCTCATAGAAACATTAATACATAGAAACGTTTAAGTCTGCCCTTAGAACACACTTGTTAAAGAGCTAAAAGGGATTCAGTAACCTTTTCTTCCCTTTGCTTATATTTTCTGTTTCTTCCCACGTGCCCGCCCACGTGCGTAGGGGACATACTCATGTAATGCGTTATGCGCTATACAAGAATGGTTAATCATTATTATCATGAAGGGATGTAGCTATAAAGAGAACCAATGATGTTTATCTTGTAGAATGTGAGTTATTCTTTCTGATAGCCGCCAAATTAGGAAATCACCATCTATAAGTACTTTTATATCAAAACTAATAGCACAAAATTTTAATTTAATTTCATGTGCTAGATATCAAGCACATCGGTAGCTCTTGTGGCACAGGAGAATTATTTGCTCAGGGTTGGCGCTTTATAAATGTATATATTATAATGATTATTTCAATCAAATCTTCTTATGCGTCATCAAATACTGTTTTGTTGGATATGTGCAATGAGTCCTATGTACAAAATTTAAGCAGTGTTTGTTGTTATTTTAGATTAAATGGCGTGTATCATTCATTTATGAATATTTACGCGCCACATGTTAGTTGAAGTACTGATCCGTATAATCATTCATCTTAGAACCATCTATCGACGCTTCAGTTCTCTTTCAAAATAAGATCATGAATAAAAGAAGTATTCCAATTGCTCTTATTATTCATTATTTTCTTACAGGAGAATCTCCCCCACAACCAGAGTCTGCCTATGTCCACTTCGTTGGAAACGTCAGCTCTCTAGTAGACACTCGTAAGTATAAATCAAGTAATATATTCTGATCAAACATAAATGTCAAATCATAATAACATAGTCTTCATAGTCATTCTTAGTTTTTAATTAGTTTAATTAGTTTTTAACACACTTAATGCAATACAAAAAATACATTTCAACTGATAACTACGTGCATTACTATATGAAGTGTATGCTCAATACCACCTCCCTTTTGCATCTCGATATTTGTGTATAGGGTATACATATTATTTGATTGGGCGGAATTATATTCTATGATTCTAAAAGTGGTAGGTGATTCGAGATATTATATTACGACACCGTATCTTAATCTATATAAAACTAACCGACCACTACTAGAAAATAATAGCTAATTGTTCTTTCTTTTTCTTCTACTCATTATTTTGGCATGCTATCCATAATTGAGCATCATCTTTTATTTAAATCACTTCATAACAAGACGCTTCCATTATATCCCTCCAACCTCACTGGAATCCAGAAAAAGACCGTTGCACCATTATAAAATCAGTGCTACCCCAAAAACTAAAACAAATTTTATACTAGACCCATGCTCCGCCCCTTTCACTTCCCTTACTCCCCCCCCCCCCCCCCCTCCCCCTCCCTAAGAAAAAAAATATATAACAAAATTAAAATAACAATATCAATAATGATAATAATAATAATAAAAATAATAAACATAATGATAATAATAATAAAAATTAATCAAAACGGGCAATTATTCCCAGAACGACTTACATGTATCTGCAAGCAGAAGGGTAATATAATACGTACATAATAATAATAATAATAATAATAATAATATGTCTTGTTTACCCAGGGTAGCCTCATCAGTATTCATGCTGTTCTCCCTGAGGGCCCTGCAATCATGAGGGGACCCCCCCCCCACACTTAATTAGTTGTTTTAAGTTTCCATAGGGGATTGTTGTCCGGAGAAAACGGTCCTGCATGTACATCCTTGAAGTAGTGGTGTTGTGCGACTAGAAAGTCCAGCCTTTATAGCCTCCAGTTACGAATGACATTCAATGGTTCCTTCATTACATCCATTGTTTGTGCTCAGAATTCAGGAAATGTCCTATTTCAACTTTATGCACTTGGTGTACAAGTGGGTGACTTTTGTATTTTTCTCGTGGAGGGGGAGGGGGTGGGGTGGTGTTGAGTCAATAAACGCATAATACAATTCGTGCATTCCTGTTGTTACCGCCCCCCCCCCCTCCCCACCCACCTACTCATTAATGAAAGGTAACTATATGAATAAATAAATAAACACTATATGGAGTAAACCGCTTCCATACTTTATACTTTATATGTCCTTTGGCAAGACATTGCCACACTCCACCCAGGTGAAGTGAATGGGTTCCTGTTAGGAATTTATTCCTTGAAATACTAGAGCGCCGTGTGGCAGCAGTGCTACAGCCAGGGTAATAATCGGGAGTGCCAGGAGGGTCAAACCTGACTGACATGAGCGCTATACAAGAACCCATTATTATTATTATTATTATTTGTCTTTAATCTTAATAGATCCAGAAAGATTACATCCACTCTCTCCCAGGATGGTCAACATCTCTGGTATGTAAAGATATTAATGATTTCAAAACGCTAATCTCTAGCTTTTCTAACTTCAATATAATAATACACAACATAATTTTATTAGGCGCTTAATACGGGTGTTTCTAAGTGCACCATTGTCTGACTAAAAATTACCAACCAAAACTTATAAAAAACATACAAAATATCAATCTGTTCTTTATTCATTAAATCATGCATATATAATGATAAAAATAAAAATGGGATCAAACATACATAAGGTCGGACATGAGGTTAAACATAGGATCAAACAAACAAGGAATTAGAAGGTGTGCACCTCCTTTGACCGACTCACTCCTGCAGAATATCATTCATGAATTAAAAAAGTGCGTTTTCAGCAAGGAATATACCCAAATTAAGACCCGCAAAACCAACAATGGAATATGTTCTGCACCGTGACTCTGGCTGAAATAATTCTTTGAAAAGAGAGACGTTTAAATCTTGCTTACATAGAAAAAATACAGAGTGAGTGCTGGTTTATTTAGGATTTGGATGGAGACCTTATTTATACATTAACCCGATTGCCTGGAGGGACCCGATAGCCCCAGCATTAAGCATATGGGAATGCGAGCATTATGTAGTCAATGACTTAACTCCAGGTCAATGTGGGAAATATCACTATTATTACAGATTGCATTTCAATCTATTTTCATTCTGAAGATTAGTCCATATTATTTCGCTCATTTAGATACCTATCTCTGCAACTCATGTTAAATTCAAATGTCTCACTAGATTATAGAAGCATATTATTAATCAATTATCCATTGATTTCTGATTAAAACATTTTATTCAAAAGAACATCTCTCATTTATATTCTCTGCTATATATTCCATGCTTAAAATTGTCATACTCTAGAATATAGAAGCATATATTATAATCTATCAATTTATATGATTGATCATTAGGCATTTTATTCCAAAGTACAATGCTCATTTAGATTCCCTGCTATACATTCCATGCTAAACATAATCATACTCTAGAATATAGAAACATATTATAATCTATCAATTTATATGATTGATCATTAGGCATTTTATTCCAAAGTACAATGCTTATTTAGATTCCCTGCTATACATTCCATGCTAAACATAGTCACCCACTAGAATATATTTCATTATCTTTAACACGATATCAACTACTTTCGAAGCATCAACCTCATGCAGTGTGTCACCTATTTGTAATGTGCGAAGCAGTGTGTCACCTATTGTAATGTGCGAACACGATAATGACGTATTATTTAATCATCTGAACATGGTTTATATGGGACATACAATTGGTTATTGAAAATACCCTTGAGTTGACTTTTCGAAAATAGTTGCGATCGCGTTCTTTTGATTTTTGATCTATCTCATACTATTAGTATTAGTATTATCAAAGTCCATCGTTATTGCAAGGTTAGATATTGGAGCTTTCTAGTGACCAGAGTATATATACAGTCGTGTCGCATGTACAACCCTATCTGACTAATTTTCGCTGCACGCCATCACATCTTAGATACCAAGACAATTTGTTCAATAATATATAAATCATGAGAAGGTTAACCATACGTACATATGAATGTGCTAACTGCAACAACCTGATTTAAAATAATTCAATTTATTGTCTATTACATGATTTTTGATTTGATTTTGGTTTTATTTTCTTCTGCATTCATGTAAGCACACAGTTTATCGATAACAATAATGATATAACTTACAATAAGTATTTTTCTGACAATGAATCATAAATAAGCAAATAATTATTTATAACAATTGTTATTTTCAAAAACGAAATGATCAACTGTCATAAATACTAAATTTCCTCAAACATTATACAATTATTTGCGGAAGAAAGACTGTCATTGTGGGCAGATTGCTTGATAATACGACAGCCCCAGACAAAACTCGTGAAATAGATTAACACATTTATTAAGCAGAACGGATAGGTAATTGAAAATACAAATTTTGATGATTACAGAGGGACAGTTTTAAAAGATGTTCTCAACTGTCTGAACAGTTTCGTGTAGTAGCTGTTTTGCATGTTTCCTGCAAATATTGTATATAAATTAGTTCTTAACAGATAATTATGTTCGTTGAATAGGTTTATATTCTGACAATCAATGTTGAATGTCGGAAGATTATAGCCTGAACTATCAGCGAATCTGGACCTACGGATGTTAAAGTTTTCATAAGCACACATTGAGACTGCATGATACTCGACTTATTAACGATTTTGACCAAGATTAATCCGCTTCTGTTCCTGTTATCAATATAAATTATTATCTAAAACAAAATACTCGTCCTCCGACCCTGAAATGTATATTATTTTCCAAACTCTTTCACAGAGAATCTGTTAAGTGACTGGGGTTACGCGACATGGACGCTTGCTCGTCAGAAAGAGAAGTTTGTATTAAACAATGGCGTCGTCACGGTCAAAGAAGCTGGAATATACTTCATCTACAGCCAGGTAAATATAAATATCTTTATACTGAAGGAATGTTTCAGCTTCAGTTTTTACTTTCATTCCCAAAAGAACACTCATCATAAAAGATTATCAAATCGAAGCGTACATTAATATAATGCATTTTGCAATCATTAGTCGAATCGCAAATGTAAGCTCAGTTTAGAGGAAAACTGTAAAAATGGAGGGATTGTGAAGCAGGGCTTGTGGAATTTCGATCCTCAAATAATAAAAGTTATGAATTTATAGTTATAAATGTTAGATGATTAAAAGGATTTTAGTTTACTCTTTTCATCAATGATTCGGACTTGTTTTTTCAGAGTCGATGTAAATTATGAAGCACAAAACTCTTCAAAACACTATCTTACTATGATTTTCAAAGGGCTCTTGCAGTTCAGTCCTTCATAACTAATTGTGTTCCACAATGTATAAAAACCGCCTAAACAATTATTAATACGCTTAGAAAAACACCAGTTGAGCAACTATAAATTTATTACAATCCATGCTCTACCGAAATAAGTCGGAATATTGAACTGGTGCACAGTATAACAGTCTTCGTTATTTTACAATCCGGTTGACCTAATGATTACGAGGCCAAAAAGAAAACTATACGTGTACTTTCGGTCTGATGTGTATTTGATCTCGTCGACAAAATAGGCTAGGGAACCCTCTTTTTTTAATGTCAATCTGGCGAAAGCATAAGTACATTAATATTTAATAAAGATATATCACCAGAAACAGATTATTCAATCTTTTTTTTTTTAAACTGTAAGTTAGCGAGAGCGTAAAAACATTAGTTCAACATAATACAGAGATAGAAGTGAAACAAGTCAGTCAGAACTTATCATCTTTGAACTTTAACAGGGCATGAACAATTAGATTCAAAACAGTTATTTCACCTTCGATAAACATCAATGTGGTATGTATAAATTTGTACCATTGTTAAATGCAGGGGCGGTAGCAAATGACACTGAGAAATGAGAATACCATAACAATCAAACAAAATACTTGATAGTCTGCTGTGGTTTGATGAGTCATTATACTGATCAGACAAAGACAAAAGAGATCAGAATATGCAGAATAATAGAACAAAAAATTGAAGATCTATCAATCTACTTTCATTTCTATTCACAATCGTTTATTTTTAACTTCTAAATTAGTATTATGTGAATACTTAAGTTCATAAGTTCATAAGTTAAGTTCATTTTATTTCCATTTCTCGTATAAAAAAAAAATTAACAATACATTATACATATAAGCCGATATATAAATATAAATAATACAAAGAATATGGAGGAGCCAGCAGAGGCCATTGGCCTTTCAAAGGCTGGGCTCCAGTGTCCTCAAATAATAATACAAAGTAAAGAGAAAAGAAACAATGGGTAGTAAATAAATAAACAAATGAGTAAAGGCTAATTAAATTAAACATACAATAGGAATTCCTTCATTAAATAGTTCTTGTATTTATGTTTAAATGAGGCAATACTTCATATTTTAATTGGGACTACTGATCATTTTAGCATTATTCTGCTGAAAATTACTGCCGATAAAGGGCTCAACCGTCCATTATCGAATAGTTAAGCGATGATAATGGCTCCAGAATCAATTTTCTGACAGGAACTCACTTTGTTGTTATGATTTAGAAGATTTTTTTTTTCGAATATATGACAGAAAAATGACATAGCCTTTCTTGTTTGTGAGGTCATAAACAAAACAAAATTATAATTGTCTACTGATGTGTATCTTGTTATGAAAGCGATTGTTATATTGACAAACGTTTTTGTTGTTGGAATTATTTATAATGATTCGTGTCAATAACTCCATTTGTAATCCTATATGGATATCAGTAAGATGAAAAGTGACATAGAGCAAAAGTTAGGGAACATTTCAAAGAAAGAAAGTGACCCGAAAAATCGAAAAATATACTCAACATATACAGGGCGTCGTGGAAAACCACCAAATTGGTGATATGTGCCACCCTGTATAAATATCAGAAATAAATAAATAATAAATAAATAAATACTAAATACATTATTTTTAAGAATAAAAACACCTATTCCTAATAATAATAGTATCAATCCTTAGAACTTTGTCTGTTTCGTCTTCCACAGGTACAATTTTTCGACGATGATCGTTACATGGGGCACGCCATTACGATCAACGAACAACCGACATTCAAGTGCGCCGAAAGTCCCCCGCTGCGTCCTCGCAACATGCATACCTGTTACGTGGGTGGACTAGCCTACCTTCATCGAGATTCACGGGTAGCTGTCCACCTGGCTTTCTCTCAACGATGGGTTAATATGCACAGTGACAGCGCATACTTCGGCATGTATAAGGCCGCCAGTTTTTCATAGGAACAGTGATGTATTACTGAAATGGGATTATGTTTCGGTTCTGAGAAATTACCTTACTCTGTCGTTTTGTTTAACAAGGAATCAAATCAAATGAAAATGATGGTCTAGGGCGAAAGACCACAGTAAAAATTATAATAAATAGATATTTGAAATATAATAATTTGCACAAACCGTCATTAATGACAGACATTTGCAATGAATATTTTTTTTCTTCTATTTGCTCTATGAATTCCGAATTGAAAGTGTCCCTAAATAAAGTCAGATTTTTTGAATTTGTATTCAAACACAAACCATCATTAATAACTGAGAAAAAACTTCTGTAATAGTCTGCATTTATTCGCTCTATAAAAATGAATGTGTCTAACGATTATGAGGCAATTCGGATTTAGAGAAACAAAATGATCCAAGATCATTTTTTTTACATTATCTTTACCGCAATACATTTAATTGAGCCACGACTAAGGAGATGGATGATGTATGTTTTACAAATAGAGTTATAAATAAACATCACAACATGAAAGCAGTGAGTATGATACAATCAACAATATTAAAAATAATTGGGTACAAATTTGCCTAGCACGAGATTAGTTATGTATTCAACCAACTTTTGGAGAAAAAAAATTCTGAACTTGAAGAATAAATTGTCCAATTAGAGTTGAATATTACTTTACAATGGGAAAAATATTGAATGCCCATTGCAAAGTCGGATGCATATCCTGATGGCAAATTTACTGGGCATTTTTAAGAATTAAATAATACTGATATACACCTTCAAACATCCCCGATTATCCTCTGTTAGCGACTGTTGGAAACATTGTCGCTTTGATTATCTTATAACATTTGACTACACCTTTAGTATAAGGATTCAAATCGCATTATCCTGCAAAAGGAGATAATAAACTTGAATGTTTTGACCATCAAAATGTTTCTGATAAGCAAAATCTAGTAAAAATCTTCCCCGTACACCCGAACCTCCTAGAACCCCCTGTTCGACCTCCAGCGCCGCCGGCAGTTTCCCCGTATCAATTGAAGAGGATTCGGTCAAACTGGATAGACCACGGTTGATAGCAGCGTACTTAATGGATATAACATGTGTGTGTATTACATAGAATAATCGTAACAATAAAAGTAATTGTGCCAAAATCTGACGTATCTATCCTTTTCAGTGAAAAAAACAGTTAGTCATTATCTGTTACTAAAACGGCAAGAGGGACTCATAAGAAATTCATTGGGTCCAGTTTTTAGTCACCAACTTAACATTAATTTTTGTTCAAAGGATTTTCAGTTTAAACCTTATACCCTAATGCGAACGGGAACTATCCCACTATTGATCAAGTTTATTTTATCTAAAATTGTCAAAATGTTGGGTAAAATCGCCCAGCATGAGGGTTATTGTAATTATGTCTACCAATTTGGGGGCGATGTTCTTGCTCAACAAGGGTAACATTTTACCCTATCATGCTCATCTTTTACTTCAAATTTACAACAAATTGCTCTCACGTTGGTCGCCTTTTAACCCCAACATTTTGTTTACAGTGAATTGTTGTAATTGTGCACATCCATATGACTGGAGATTCTCCATACTGATCATGAGGTCTACTTTATTCAGAATAATTAAACATTAATGTTAAGTGATTTATGTTTTTTTTAAGTTATATTGCTGTGATCATGCTTTCATTTTGTCAAAATGATTATTTCAGAAATCAGGTTGCTTGAGCTACTTGTGATGGTATCCTTTTGGTCAAGAAGCTGTTTCGAAAGGTTAAGTTAGGGAAAAAAAACAATTATGTAACCTTAAACATAAACATGGTACATGACGTCACATTTTCTTTCAAGTATATTGTCTTGAGTGACATACATTATAGTGCGTATGGCCCAGGAAGAAAATAATCAGGAAAAAATGCAGAAGCGCATAATAAATACAGAAACAAAATTCACACAACTTTGATCATTATAGAACTATTTTAGCGTATCCGGTATCATAACGAGTTGTAAAGTAGTCTGTTTGTTTGAACATGCTGCAGGTCGATTAAGGTTTTACTCTGCCTGATGATTAAGAAACCATGAAATTGCAAATATCTAATGTAATTTAATACAAAATAATTTTTAAAAGGCGTTCATGTTTGTTACTTTTCTGATTGTAAAATAGTTACGTAGAATATATACAGTTAACGGTTAAATTATTCTTACACTTACCAAGTTTTTAAACTTTTGTTTAAGTATTTGAAAAATTGGTTTGTCTCGATTTATGTTTCTTGAGAATGTGACATAATTATTAAAGCTTACATCTAAAAAGGGGTGCATAATTTATTTGTTAACTGTAGATAGGGCCTACCTCATTTTTATGAATTTGTCTTCCTTTCTGACATTTCATTTCGTTTTCTTAAAATAATCACCATGATCAATCTGTTATTTCTATCAATAAGCTTGTCAGCATCTTCGTGTATTTCAATGTTTAGTTCTTTTTACTCTGCACCTGATTTTGTATTTGTAAATAAATAACACAAAATTAATGTTGAAATGACGAATATCATTTTAAGATTTGAAGTCGAGTAGCTTCAGTACTTTGTCAAAACTGTGTATTTTTGTAAATAGTATCGTTGTATATTTTTGTAAATACTACCATTTATACACTGTAGTACTAAGCCTATCACTTCTGTTGCTTTAATACGAGTAGCACTTCATCATTTTACCTTTACCATTGTTTACCTTGATGTACAGAGAATATTCCCTAAGTATTTTGATTACTTGGTGTTACTTTAAAACTTGTAATTCAGTCATACTTTACTAAATTGGGACTAGTATATATCAAAACCATTGTACTTCTATTTGTATGCAACGTTTAACTCAAAAATAGAAGAAAATTACATGGTTACAAAGGGGATAACTTTGTTATGTATTTAAATGTGAAAATAGTGTTATAGCCATGGTGATGCGTGGGCCTGCCCTTATAAGCAATTCGCTTCTTTGTGGTCCTGACCATATATTTGCTTTGTATTTTGTATGTTTTATGTATTCTATTTTCTGTTGTATGTTTTGCTTTTACATGTATATGGTCTAATAAATTCAATTCAATCATGTGTACATAGAATGTAGTACAAATATTAATTTTTCGATGCAAACTTTGCAATTTAAGCAGCTTTTCATTTCTGTTTACATTAATATGATACAATATGCATGATGTAAAAATTATAATTCTGACACGATAGCGTGTAATAGAAGAGACAAAAAGAATATTTGAAATTGCTAGTAGTGAATGTTAATGTTTATTGTCATTAGTTTTACTCACAGGATACCACGTTGTGTATAGCAATCGTTGAGGCTAAACAAATAAATGTTGATTACTTTTTTTGGTAAAAGAGATTAAACGTTTATAGTGTTCCTTCATCATCGCTTTTATGTTTTAAGTTTTGTGTGTTTTATGAAAAGGAAACATCAATACATCGGAAAATACTCTCAAATTTTCAACAGCTGAATATAAACTCAATATCAAAAGGACTGAGAACGACAGCGTTTTCAAAATGGCAGATTAATACTTTTAACTTGCTGATTTAAACCTACATAATATATCATATACAAAATATACGTGAAGCATTGTCAACGCGATTGCACAAAATGTTACATTATGACTGATATTTCCACATTATCCACGCATTAGATTGATGGCTTCCTCTTCTCACACAACCATCTAGCTGAGGATGAAATATGATCAGATAAGATCAATCATTCTATACATCTTAAATTCCTTTAATATGAATAATGATCTCCAGGTAAACCTCACAAAGACATTTGTGTCATGCACACTTATCGCAATGAATACACAGGAGAGCTATCTTTCCCTTCGTCACAGTTTATTTTCAAAATGACATTTATACTGCTCAATAGAAAGATCATCATCACCATTGAGGCAGGTGCTTCCTGAGTAACATTGTTAGTTGTTACGACTTGAAATGAAATAAATCTTTTCTTTTTATCTGAAAAGAATTAATTACTTCCAAGGAAATAAACCTGAATAAGACTCACAAGCAAAGACCTGATCCAATAAACCGTTGTCTGTTCTAAGATATAATCCAGTATCAATCTTTGTCGTTGTTAGCTGACTTCTAGAGCTCAAATCATTATCCGCTTCATCCGTTGGTGTCTGTCAGAGTTTTAAAACCACAAATTCATCTTTTGTAAAACTCTTCTGCAAATTATCATATGTTACTATTTGTGATGTGTTTCGGAGAAAAGCTCCTCTCATTGAAATCAGTCATGAGTCATGCCATCGTAATCTACGTTTAAGGTCCGGTTTCTTATTAGAATCCAACGAAGGGGGAAAACCAAAATGATGTGCTCTAATTCAACACCTTCAATTCAAATATAGGCCTTAAACCATTGCCTACTGGAACCCAGTGGCCCCTGTATAAAGCCTATGAGATTGAATGAATCCGGTAGTCTGCGGGTTAATTTTGGAAGCAATTTGGTGTTGCAGGAATGAAAGCTATTCCCCAAGTTTTATACGGATAATGTACCAAGACAAGCTTTTCTCCGTTTCGAAACGAAATTAATAATCTTACGCTTGTATGACTATTAGTTGTGTTTAAGAATAGAATTATAAATAAATTGATATTTATATTATTTTCTTTAAACCTGTGTTGACAAGAAAAGGTACGGAACCTGTTTATTGGTCCTTAGAAGTGTAGAAACAAAAATACATCTTCAAACTTAATAAAAAATTAAGTAGATCAAATGGATAAATGGATGTAGTTATGGATCTTAAAAACTAAATGATGCCATCCGGTTGTTAATCTATAAGCAGCAATAGAATTGATTGATTGATTTTTATTCGACAAGCTTCCAATATACAACAATATACAATAATAACAGATCAAAAATAAGTCAGCTTGAACAGGATAACCCACGAAAGCTCGAGAGCTTATTTCCAGTGGGGTCCCTTACAGACATGTATACAATTAATAAATTAAAATAGTAATATTTACAGACAGATAAGAAAATTAAAAGAACTACTTATTAAAGATAATAATAACAAAATTAAACTGATGATAGAAATGATATTAAGTACAAGAAGAAAAAGAAGAAGGAGAAGAAGAAAAAGAGGAGAAGGAAGAAGAGGAAAATAATGATGAATTTGTAGAATTTCTATAACGTACGAAAACATAAGTATATACAACATGAAAAAGTATGAACCGACAGAAGAATAACAATTTCAATCATATAACATGTCATTCACTTCTCTTCTCTGACTGTCAAGTATTAAGTATTCCTTTAATTTCCTCTTAAAATGATCATAGTTTCCTATTTCTTTTACACCATTGGGAAGGGAATTCCAATGTTTTATGGCATTGTAATAAAACGAATTTCCAATACTACCTACTCTTTCTGGTAAGTTAAAGTTGAATCGTCTATTTCTTGTATTATAATCATGTACGTCGGTAACAAGATCGAAGTTGGATCGAATATAATGATTCGCCCTAGTATGATATATTTTATGCACGTGATGCAATGCGAGTTGTTTTGATCTTTGGTCGACTTCAAGAAAACCAGCTTTAGAAAGTTCGCTATAGCCAACATGAGTTCTTGGACCAGAACAGTTGATAAATCTCACCATTTTGTTCTGTATAATCTTCAACTTCTTTTGATCTGACTTGTTTATGTTACTGTACCATGCAGGGTTAGCATAGTCAAATAAACATTGAATAAGAGCAAAACAGAGTGTACGTCTTGCTTTTAAATCCATACAACTTTGATATCTGTACAAAAATTTCAGACGAGAATTTGCTTTTTTTACAACTGATTCTACTAAAGATGAAAATGAAATTGCGCTAGCCAACTCAATGCCTAAATACTTCACAGACTCTTTTCTCTTGATTGCTTGATTATTGTGTGTCACTTTGAATTCAAATGACTTTTTAGAACTACTTTTAGAACAAAATAAAATGCTTTCTGTTTTTCCCAAGTGTAAAGAAAGCTTATTATCAGTCATCCAATCGACACACGTAGACAGCTGTTCACTGAGCTTTTCCTCAATATATTTAGGATCAGGATTTGAATAGAGTAGCACGCTGTCATCTGCGTACAATAATAGTTTGAAGTCTTTTATACAAATACACATATCATTTATATAACTTGAAAATAGAATTGGGCCTAAAATACTTCCCTGAGGAACACCGCATGTTATAGGCATTAGTTTGGAACGAATATCATGAATGGCCACTACTTGGTGCCGATTAGATAAGTAGGATCTGAACCAATCTAAACTTGCCTTATCAAAACCCATTAGTTGTAACTTCTTCAATAAGACGCAATGATTAACTGTATCAAAAGCTTTTTGCAGATCAAGGAGCACCATACCAACAAAGCGTCCTTGGGAAGTTTCTCTCCTCAAATAATCAGTCAAATGAATTAGACATGTTTCAGTCGAATAATCATGTCGAAAACCAGATTGAAATTCATAAATTATATCATTTTCTTTGAAGTATCTTTCAATTTGAACACAGACCGATTTTTCTAGAATCTTTGATGCTACGCTTAAAACACTAATAGGTCTATAGTTGCTAACATCAGTTTTATCTTTCTTTTTATAAAGTGGAGTCACTTTTGCTATTTTCATATCTTCTGGAAAAGTACTCGTCAAGATAGATAGGTTCATTAAGTAACTTAGAGGCTTAAATAAAACCTTCGCACCATCTTTTAGAAATTTAGCTGGAATCAAGTCTAACCCAGTACTTTTTGATACATTCAACTTACGTAACTCTTTGAAAACAAATTGTTCACTGATTGGTAATAACTCGAAGCTGTTTTCACGTACACCTTTTCTTTCGTAAAAGTCACGAATACAATCATTGTCTGCGCTGAAAAGGTCTTTGGAAGGGGGGAGTTTGTCTACTAATTTGGCAGCCACATTTGTGAAATGAGAATTGAATTCATCAGCGATGGCCATCTTATCATGACATAATTCCCCATCAATTTTAATGACAGATTCTTGTTCTTTTCGCTTCTTATTTTTCAATCCTAAGCTTTTTAGATTCTGCCAAAGTTTTTTCGAATCTTGTTTATTTTCTTCTATCTTGTTTTGTAAGTAATCGAGTTTAGCCTTTTTCACCTCTCTTTGGACCATATTTCTTAATACTCTGTATCTTTTATAGAGCTTCTCATCTTTTGCTCTTTTCCTCCATTTTTTGTATACTATATTTCTCTCTTGAATTAGGGAAAGAATATCTTTAGTCACCCAAGTTTCTGATCTTTGTTTTATTCTTATCCGTTTCAGTGGCGCTATCATATTCAAATTTGAGATAAAAACATGTTGAAATATTGACCATGCCTCATTTACATCTGTACAGTCAGTTATTCGTGACCAATCAACAACAGATAGTTGAAGATTGAAAGACTCTTCTGTATATTTTTTCATGGATCTGATATCATTAGTCCTGTGATGACCTATAGCCAGTCTAACATTTTTCCGTGTACAGAAAGTAAAATAATGGTCGCTAATACCTAGATCAATGACACCACTTTGACTTATTTTATTTTCTTTGGTACAACCAACATGATCCAATAGAGAAGAACATGTAGGTGTAACGCGTGTTGCCTCTTTAATGAGTTGACTAAACCCATGAAGACTCAACAAGTCAATATATTTTTTAGCCAGTGGCGATTTGCGAAGAAGACAAATATTCATGTCTCCTAAAAGAATTATTTCGTCATCCTTCTTTAATGTATCAAGAATATTGGACAATTTCTCGATAAACAAATTGTTTTTCGGAGGTCGATACAGAACACCAACAACAATTGGTTTTGATCTTGGTATAAGCAAATTTATCCACAGGGATTCCGTATCTCCAGTACTTATAGCATCCATAATATTAAATGCAATATCATTTCTGATATAGAAACATACACCACCTCCAGAGCCAGAGGATCGATCATGGCGTATGATTTTATATCCGTCTATTTCAATTTCTTCATCATTTATGGAATTGTTTAACCATGTTTCAGTGAAAGCAATAATAGACAGCCTTTTTCTTTTAAAAAGAATTCTAAGTTCCGATATCTTGTTTAGAATAGACCTCACATTAAGGTGTAAAAAATGAAGACCTTTAACTTTAAACTTTTCTTCAAATTCTTGATAAAGAGAAGTGTTTTCATCTCTGAGGTTTGGCTGAATTACTCTTGCTATCGCTTGCTTTTCAGGTGTAACGCGCGTTATCTTAAAATAGTTTTCTTTTAGTCTATACTCATTTGGCTTTCTTTCTCTAAACAATCGTCGTTAAATAATGAGTCACAAAAAGATGGCAGACAACATGTTAAACAATTCCACTTCTCATCAGGGCATTCATAATATAACCTGCGGTACTCTGAAAAACTGATAGCTTGACAATTAGTGT